ATATATATATATAGTATATATAGTGTGTGTGTGTGTGTGTGTGTGTGTGTGTGTGTGTGTGTGTGTGTATTATATATATATATATATATATATATATATATATATACGCTTTCATGCGTATGCACATCTCGTAGATCTGTTTACCACCAACGCACCGAGGAATTATTAACATAGCACAGTCCGACAAGGTCTCACTAAACACGGGAGCCTGCACGTGACTTAAAAATTTAAAAATTCCTTCTACAGCACGAAGTATCGGAACCTGAGCACAATGCCACACTGATTATGCACCCCGACATGGTCTACCAAGCGAGATGGAAATACCGAGTCAACTCAAGTCGTATCACTATGCTCCGGATGGTTGTGGCTGTCAAAGTAGGTTTGAATGACTGAATCGTGGATGGGCATGCATCTGCTACAAATTTTGCGCATAACCCTGGTATACATAGTATTCGCGATTGAAGGTGTAACACTGTTAACGTCTGATGTGTCCGTCAATGTGTGTTTGCTCGCTTATACACATATCCGTATCTGATACTTCCGCACTAGTTCAAGCTCTGTGCACTTGCGGGAATTGCTCTCATTTCTCAAGCATCAGATATTGCTTACATACTCGACTCCGGTGTATCTGCGCGACAAACCTCATAGGTGTTTTATTTCATATATTCTTCCTACATTCACAATGACCCAACAGTCATCCCTGTTGGCTCATTGTTCCCCTCTCTCAGCCATTGGCTTTATCAATATAGTATGTAACTGACAGATTATCTTTCCAAGCTATAAGTTGTATCAGAATGTCATTTATTTGATAGATCACCACGCTTCCATGTACCGAAAATCAGTATTTGATCAATTACCATCTCTCTTGCGCATGATAGGACTTCAACGACCCGACGGACAAGCGAGGGGTCTCAGACATTCCAAAGCCGGTCAATGGAAAAGTACCGTTTTCTGAGTTTGGTAAGTGTTGATGTATAAAGGGTTATGTATTGGAAATTTTTATAGTCTACATTTGTGGGTATGGTTACTACATCTTGAATATCCATGTATTCCATTTTCTTAACTGCGTATGTACACAAATGTATCTGAATTGTGAGAGCGTACGTTGCTCCTCCGAGGTATAATATGGATTTTGTATATATTGTAACTTAACGTCGTATTTATCTACTCTCATATTGGTTCAAAGTTTGATTAATTTACTATACAAATGCCATTTAGCTGCCTCTTCCCTTTTGTATCTTATCTACCTTCATATTCCAATTAGTATAGTGGACTTGCTGTATTTTACATCAAAACCAAATCACAGCTTTGAGCCCAAGCGAACGCCTTCATGCTTCGTAGATAATCCAAATAGCATATTAATATGTCCGTCAGTAATATTTTATGCTCGGGAGTTCATAACAATGCACAATAGATACAGTACTTCACCTCACACAACACCTACTATATCTGTCGATATAAGCGTCATTAATATCTCATTCATATTTCAATTTGGTACACAGTAATTTCTGTGCTAGACTTTTGAGAACATCTACTCGATGGGAAATCTGTGGGGATATCGTAGAACATATCGTTATACACGTCAGTATGATCTTGTACTAGGTTCGCACTGACACAGCTAGTACAGTGTTGTACGCGACACACCTACAAAGAATATTGATATATACGTCAGAAATATCTCATGCTCGTGCTTCATAATGTTGTACAGGAGATACGGTACTACATTTTTTGACCGACTTTCCGATTGGACCGGAGGAGAAACAACCCGTGCCATACGATATTAGTGTTTGGACAAAGTTTGCACCCAAGGTATCATCACGTTTCTGTTTTATACATGTCATATTAGGGGCGTGTGTGTGTATCATATGTAACACACGAGAAGTTCTACTATACAAACTTATAGTAGGTGTATACCTTGATCTAGACTCATGCTTTCATGAATATCTGCAAAGTACATTGCTCTACCAATATCCACGGTGTTGTGAATACATGTCTACACATGCTTGTATGCACATGAGATTACATATGCCTACAGTTGAATGCTTTATAAGCACAGATGGAATCAGAGTATTTGATTGATAGAAAACTCTGCATCATCACGGCTTCGACTTCAATTATGACAATGGTCAAAACACATGAAGTTTTACTTGCAATAGTTGATGTAGGAGCAACAGATAGTAATTTAAACCTGCAGCCATTGGTGTATATTTTTAACGTACGCAAGGGTGCTGTTATTGGTCAATTGCTTACACTTGCACGTTACATACACATGTACCTTCCTCTTACTATCGCAGGCCTATGGACCAGAAACCCGTGTGGCTGCTTGGTTCTATTTGTGCGACCAAGGTGTGTGTCATGTATGTCGAGCATATTTGAGTGCCCCGAATAGTGCTTGGAACTGTCTGGTATTATCACTGACGCACTAACATCCAGTAACTTTTCTCAGCTTTTCATCCCTGCAGAGTTTGATTTAGTACGTGTGGAAGAGTATATGCGTATGAAATGGAGATTCAGATGCTTAGGTTGACGTATAAACCCAGCCGGTGTTTATGGATACCATTTCATGCACCCTTGTATACTAGAAGCGCAAATGATTATACCTTACTCATGGTTTGGCATCTCCCACACTCGCAGCTGATAACGTGCTGATCTACTACACGCACGATCGAGTAGTTAGCGTGACGTACGGCGTCATCAATAAGCCTCCCTTCTCCGTACCCCTAATACAAGCACCCGACATCACATCCCGTAAGTGTGCGCCTACAGCTTGCACATATTCAGAACATTAAGTGTTTTGAACAACATATTCACAATACAACTCAATGGTCATGCGTGGGGTGGTCATAAGTGAGTTGTGCAGGACTAAAAAATGTCAGGAGTATTAAATTTTGAGAGATATCTCGTTCACAACGCAAACCTATTGAGTGTTTGTGAGTGCTCATGTACAGCTTCAAATTATGAAGTTTTAGGTTCGAAATATACTATATTCACATCACATTCCAATATTCAGTGCATAATATGGTCACCTGTGAGTGTGCATCTGCCGCCTGATATTGGTCGAAACATCGGATATCATGATACAGTAAATTTAGAACATAGTCGAATCTAGAGGTTGTGTGTATGCGTTCACATCTTGAAATGTTCAGATTATGAGGTTTCAGGACATATTACATCTACAACAAACTCTGACTAGTGCGTGATGTGGTGCCCTGTGAGTGTACAATTCCTCTTGCAGATATTCGGACCAGGTGTCACTATGGAACACATTTTCAACGGAACCTTATTACATAACTGATACGAAATTGTAGCTCATAGTTGGGCGTATACCGTCTGTGAGCTTCTGATGCCAACTCTAAATATGGCTTGTATGCGTTTATAGAATGATGCACCCATTGGTATCGCAAAGCATAAATTCATCCTTAGAGTTTGTCTGTGTTATAGTTACTTAGCGCTAAAAGCATACATGCTCAAAGTGATCTCTGACTGTTTGTTGCTTTTTTTTGCCCGGCTGAGCAACAACTTGAAACATCGGTGGTTTTAGGACTTCGTGACATGGGATGGGCGAAATTCAAAATGCATTTGTATTGAAATATATATGAGTAAGAAGTAAGTGTATTTGCGCATGTTCGAGTTCTGGACAGAAGCGACTACGCGCGTGTAGTGGTACACGGAATAATAGTCCTACGTGAAGAAGAAGTCTATGTGTGTTTGCCCACAGATATTCATTCACTTCTTACGCGAAATGTCTCGGGGTTCTACTGGCAGTACTAAACACATTCGTGGGTGTAGATGAAACACCTATAAGATAAATACAATCGACTGAAGAGATTACAAATTGTGTATACAACAAGGTGTGCATTCGATTGTAAAAAATTACCGATATCCGTTTACAAACGAAATATACATACTAAGGTACACATCTTTCGGAAAGTTCTCATAAAAAAATTTGTATCACAGAGCTGATGAGTTAAGCACCCATCTGTATGTAAATGGTTTGTGTGTGTCACACTCGATTTAATCGCTTTGTTTGTGCCACGCTCATATCTATTTGTTTTGTTTATATTATTATTTCTTGATGCTTAGGCTCGCGGAAACATGTGGAGCATTGTTCTCCAGGTCTTTTCCATACAGTCTCGTCCAACGCACTTAATCTCTTTAAAGGTACGTATATGCATGAGTGCTCGAACTTATTACTTTCTATATCTAAATTTCGCCCAAACCTATATAGTTCGCGAAATTTCTGTCATGCATACTGCTAGATGTAATGTAAGGGCGATGTCCCTGTCATATTGCTTACTTCGATACCGAAATGACATTTGCATGACTGATTCTAATCGGCTAAAATACGTGAACAAATTAGGACATTGGTAGCACGAGGCAGCCAGTATATATATATA